ACCGTCGAGCCCACTGTGTTGCAGACCATGCACGTGTGTCAATTTGTGTATAATTATTAACAATTTTGTACTATGTACAATATAATAGATACTTGACAATACAGGGTGATTCTTTTACCGCTCTACACTAGTTTACTCTTAAGATCATGCCCGATTTTTTCGATACTTACGTTTTTTGAAATAATCAAACTAAAACGTTTCGAAAATAGTCATTTTTGAAACATATTTTTGGCATCGTCCAAGCTAAGGTCATGCCTAATTTTGACATGGATATGTCTTATGGCTCCCCCAGCCAGAATGACCCCTTCATTCTGAAAATTTGTCCATTACGTTTTGTGTCACAGTGCTGATGTCATTATCATTACGTCATTATTATTACATCATTATGGAAGGATGTTTGACTTAGGTTTGGTTTAGGTTTGATTTGGCTTGACTTAGGCTTGGATTAGGTTTGGTTTAGGCTTGGTTTTTAGCTTTGATAAGACGAGATTAAGCAAACTTCAACAAAAACCCAACCCAAACCTAAACCAAACCTAATCCAAGCCTAAGCCAAACCAAACCTAATCCAAGCCTAAATCAAGCCAAATCAAACCAAAACCAAACCTAAGTCAAGCCAAATCAAACCTAAATTAAGCCAAATGTTTCTAAACTAAATTTGAGTAAATAAATCGGTATTAAATTTATATTATATTAAAAAATAAAAATCATTACATACATAACTATCATTGAATTTGATTTATATTGATTTTCGAACAAAAAAATGTCTAGCTAACAAAAGGAGGTTATAAATAAAATATAATACTAAATATATTATATTACGTATAATAAGTTGTTTGTATTACAACTAAAACTCTGCCGAATATTATTTGGGTTTTCTACAGTAATTTTCAAATACTAATGATCGTTTGCGCACCAATTATACCTTAAATCTAAGGGTAGTTTAACAATTGTGAAACTATAGGTTAAACTCTACTTAAAATTAGTTATATTTTTAAACTAAGTACTAAATTATTATTGCATCTGCGTAAACTGCCATAAGAGTGTCGAACCATGAGACCCAAAATGGTTCATGACAATTTTCGACAGGATACTTTTGCACAAAAGCTAAACGAGCCAATTTAAAAAATAAACCAAACATTTAGATACATTTATATAAATAGGTACCTACTAACCATACACGAAAATGGAATAACACTGGCAAAGTAGTACACGCGTTTTATTCGCCACCGCTCGTTGTTTCGCGCAATGATTATATTATTCCCTTTAGTGCTTGAACTTTAGCATCGTCTTTGCTCGTACGTACACAGTATAGGCAGTATAGCACTAGAGAAGTTTATAGCCGACCGTAACGGCGGATGGGGAATAAAACGAAATGCGCCTTCCCCTCTGCCGGCCGTCTCTTGTTTGGATAAATAAAAATAATAATAAAAAAAAACCCCGAAACCGAAGCGGGTCTTGGGAGCCATTTATATCAAGTTCGGGCCACAAATAATCAAATCAACCGTTTGACATTATTTCCTAAAAGATTTACCGCCCGTTCCGGCTGTATATACCTACATAGATAATATTACCTATATACACAAGCCGTGTCTCAATGGTAATGTAGTCGAAAACGCGATCCGTCTCAATTTGCGGGTCCGGTCCCATCGTCGAATATTTATGTTCGTACCCCTAAAAAAAGTGTCGGGGGGGTGTGGCAGAATAGTTTCGAACCCGATAGTTTGCGGCGGCCGAGGTGGAGATGTGAAGGGTTGGCCGTTGATGGGAAATCCGTTTATCCGCCGATTAATTTATTGGTCGCCCGAGAGTTGTGTGTGTTCCTAATACAAACTCGGTCGGGCTCCTCGGTGTTGATTTCATACAAAATCACGTTTAACACGGTCATCCGCCCGTTAGGGAACGGTCCGATCCGTTTGTAAGCCCACGGCGTGGTGTTCAACTGGAAACAAAGGGCAATACGCGGGTTATTATTTTCAATTTGACCGACTCCGCTATAAAAAAAAGCTTTATCGACTCGGAAAAAAAATTGTCGACCGATTTATTTTTTATATGTATTTTGCCAGCAGAGTCATGCCAAATATACTGCAACGATAACCGACGGATAAAATGTATAACCACGTTAATTATCTATATTATTCGATGTATGTACCTACAACGTACAAATGTCAATGTATACCTATGGATTAAAAATATCATGTAATATTTAATTTGATAGGATACAAATAATTAAATTACGAAAAATGCGTTTTGAGGGAAAATATTTTTTTAAAAATGGCTACTACACTTTATGATGACAATTGACGGTAGATTTATTTAAGAAAACAAATTTCCATTACATCCGAAATCACTCTCAAATAAAATACTACGATGCGAATCTGTAAACGGTAAAAATATTGAACAACTATCGTCCAAAACCATAGTAAAGGCAGTATTTTTTTAAAAATGTATACCCCTTCTGGGGGAAGAAGCGTTCGCACACATGAAAAACGGTAAATTTTGTACGGGGCGGTCGCACAGCGGGTGCGTGGATACACTGGATATTATATCGAACCGCAATACGAATGTTTGTCGCCATTTATACATATTAAATGCACGTGCCCGGGATGAAAAGAGGGATTTAGGGAAATGTATTCGAATCTACGGGAGCGGCCGTGACAGTTTCCATTACCGCAGCTGCCGACCGTGTAGCTCTGCTCGCGTTGTCGTCGTTGTTGTTTGTACGGTGTTAGGTATAATAATATTATTTTATTATTATACGACCGTCATCAGAGTTCTACACGGTTTTTGCGCGATTAGCATTAGCCAAGTGCCCCGGGGTGGCACTACGCGGGAGGTGTTTTAAATTTATTTAGTTGACGCCGAAACGTCAACCCGACCGACGGAATTTAAATGATGAAATAACGCCTGGTAAGGGGCGTGGGGTGTGTGCTAAAGTAAAAAGCTGTGTTAGCATACTATTATAATATATTGTGCGCCCTCGACGATTTCTCTCTTTCAGTTAAACCAGTCGGATTTCCTTCGCACGACATATTATTATTATTATTATTACTATCATCATCTTTTATAAAGTTCATATACGTGTACCTCCTCTACAGTGTATAAGCTTACGGTGTATGTACACTGCACACGCATCGCTCGACTGTCGTTTTGTCGATGCTATATATTAGTCTACAGGATTATTATTATTATTTTGTGATCATTGGCGAGCACATCTAGAAGGGGCTAGGGAAGTCCAAATCCTTCTGAACTCGTCCAGACTCTGAAAAAAATGTTAGTTACCAATTAGACACAGTCCCCGAGTAAGGTTTATAATTTCTACTGAAATTCTGAGGGAACTTTCAGAGTTTTTTAAAGATCTGAACTTCCTTAGCCCCTCTAGTTGCGCCAATGTTTGTAATCAACACACCCGTTATTATCAACAGGCTTCATTGAAATATATTACTTTAAATACCCAATTATCTCGTTTTTCCCCGGCTCGGTTATCATTATCAACAAAATATAGAAGTACATCATAATAAAGCTGTATCTTTTAGCTAAATGAGTACATCTAGATAAGCCCTGCGGCAGTACAGGATATCGTAAGACGGCACTATAATGTGATGCTATGCACCGGGGGCGGGAAGCGGCGTCCATAAATCGAAGATAATAATTATAAAGTGTAAACGTGGAGGTAATGAATATAAGAGGGTGACATGTACGCGAGAGGTGCGGCTTAGGTCGTGGAGAAATGAAAGTCAGATCGCTTGGGGAGCTATTATCACGTTCGCTATGTGTTTGTTTAGCTACCGCCTTTATCGAAGTGGTGGTCGTCTGGGGGAGGATCGAGGCATTATTGCTACAATAAACATATTTTTCCCGTTATCCATGGCACAATAAAAGTCACCCCCTCTCGTTCCACCACGTCGCACAGTCTAATCAACATTTACGGCGTCCATTAACCCAAGTTTTTCATTACTCTTACACGGACTCTTGTATTCATGTACAGCGTAAAATATATACTATTCCTCACTAGCGAGCTTACCCCTCAACAACTGCCGGGATGTCGCTTTCACCCCCCCCCCCTCTATTCGCAATCTAGTCCATCTATCGAGAACCGGTTAGTAAAATACCTAACTCTTACTAAAAACAATCTTTTTTTTTTAACGATAATAATAACAGTACTTAGAGAAAAGCTTAAATTATAATTGTATAGCATAAGCATGATACTACGAGTACAATAAAATCATGCTATTATCGAATTACTTGCATAGAAATTTATAGAAAAGTAAATATTTTTTAAATGTGTAGGTATTCAGTGTAGAAAATATGTATGTATAAATATTTGTTGTTTAAATTTAAAAATAATAATCTATAATTATTTAATTTATAAATTATAATATTTAAGAAATATTACTGTTATATTTATAAAAGATTTTTTAAAAAAAAGATTCAAAAATATTGCAACAATTATTATAAAATATTATTATTATTTTTTAATGAACTATTGTTAAAACACATACCTAACCACGTGTTAAAATGTAGGATGTACCTACTATAATAAGTCTATTGCAAAGTTTTTTTTTTTAATTTTAGTACAAAGAAACGTCTTTAATAAAATCTTCTATATTAAGAGTTCGAATTTCCAATTCTCTAACGTTCTCAATAAGTTTTTCAATTTATGAAAAATTCTACCGATTACCGACTTTATTCATTTTAATATATAGATAATAAATTTAAAACAAATAATTTTAATTTTGTCTAATTTTTCAACGATAGAAAACTTTAAAAACTGAGAAGTTTCTGGATTTTTAAACCACTATTGTATTTATACTTAGAAATATTTTTTAGCTTATTTGTAACGTCAATATTTACAACACATTGCTTGATCGACTAGCCAATAGAGCCATAAAACAATACAAGAAGATCGAAGGAATCCTACCTATCATGTTTCACGGTGATATGGGCTATCACATGGGGTATATGATGGAATTGTAAATTTGAAAAAAATTACCAAAAACATAAATAATAACAATTATTTTATTTATAATAAGACAAAAATAATATTACACAATACAACAAGGAAGTATTAAAATTCTAAATCTACTTAGATAAAACTAATTAATATCACAATAGTAATGTTGTTATTTTTATTGTTACAAAAAATATACTTAATTAAGGTCGTAATGTACAACGATTGTTAAATTTTATTGCAATTAAGTAAAACGAAGTCGTGTGATTATAATAACAATATAATATTTGTATTGATAGACTAGAAGATTGTAAACCGACGTGGTAAAAGTGACTTCGCTGATTAAATTGAATAATGGTCGAAAAATCAACACGAATGCGATTAAAAATAAATTTTACAAATTATCAGAAATCATTCTAAAATCTATACTTCAAAACGCATGAGTTATATGCAAACAAATCGGATTGAAACTGATTATTTAAAATATTTAATTATATATTTGGTCGGTAACTACTATGTTAATACCGACCATACTTGTAATTACAAATTATTGTACTCTACTCATTTTTGTATTTCTTACACTTAGTTGGTAATGTCTCGAGCTCGAGAGACCACGATTTTTTTTTTATAAATCTCTTAAAGAAACTAGTTAAACGTGACAAATACGCGACATCCTATAATGTCATAAGTAGTACTTCAAAATGAAATAGTAACTAAAATAATAAACACACTAAACGATAAAATATTACAATGAAAAATTACATGTTATTTTGTCGTACTTACGAATAGCTTAAACGAGGGACAGTAAAATATAAAACAATAAAGCATTTAGATCTAAAAAAAAAAATCAAACAAATGTACATAGCGTAAGTAAGTTAATCGGGACAACAGACTTTTCTAAGTATTACTATAACATAATAATACTTCTATATCTACATTATATTAATTTAGACAATATATATAATATATACTATATAATATAACAACGATTTAATTTGGTAATACATAATACTTAATAATGGTTTAAAAATAATAATAAATCGGGACCGACCATAACAACAAATAATTAAAATATTCATATACACATTACCGTATGTTCTAGAATAGCTATTACAGCGTTTATAAAACGTAAAACAATAAAAATGACATTTAAAAACAATTAGGTGTACATAATTTTTAAATGTCTCTTTTGTATTCCTTTGTTTGTATTTTGACATCAACTTACAGGGTAAATACTGCCAAAGCCGTTCTAGGGCGTACATAGCATAATAATATAGTAGATATTTTCTAATAATTATTACATATTATTACTATTCCATTATAATTACATAAAAATATAGTGTATCACGGTCAACTAGCAACAGGGTTGTTACGTTTAAAACAACTTCTGTTATAAAAATAAAAAAAAACAATTTTACAACTTTAGAATACTATGGTTGTCCAAAATATTATGTACATTAAATCTGTCATGTCAGTGTTGGACGAATAGTTGGTTGGCAAAAAAACCTAAACCTACAAAAAAAAAACCGATGGGGTTTTCGGTGGGAGGAGAGGGGTTTAACCCCAGTCAGTGTAGGGTGTTGGGCCCTAAAAAACACCCCCGGGGGTTTTGCCATTTCTGACTGAGTAACGATCTAGTTTATATACATAATATAATATTATAACCAGCCTTTATCACAGGACTTGACAATACTTGTTTTTGTTTTTCACCGGAGTGGCCGTCACCGGCGTCGATGCAGGCGGCTTTGTGTAACCGGGCGTGGACGCGGGCGAGGTAAACGCCGGCAGAGAGGCCGAACTTATCATCTGTGGCCGGCCGTCGGCCACGGGCGTGTGGCCGCTGTCCGCGCTGGGTTCCAGGGTAGACCCACCCCCGCCGCCGGTATCGCCACCGCCACCGCCGCCGCCGCCGCCACTGCTGTTGTACAGAGACCTGCTAACCCGGTTCCTGAACGACCGGCTGGTGGTCGGCTTTTTCCGGTAACTGGAAAACTTGGCGCCGTTCCGTTGGAAAGTCGTGGTATCGATATTGAGGTCGAGACTCTGAAAGGAAATGAAAAAAAAACCATTAATAAACTAAGTTGTTATTTTTAAAACTATAGAAAAAAAAATCAAATAATCGTTAAGTTGTATCTAAAGTGTGAAATAAAGTATTTACACTATACATATGAATAATGTATGTATTTTATTAAACTGTCAAAAAAAAAAAAGTATTTACCCTCTCCTCCCACCCCTCTCCAATCGATAATGAAATAGGAAATCCCGAAAATTCTCTAGCATAATTCTGTGTACTTTCTCGTGATTTATTTTTTATTTGATCGACATGGGAAATTGTAATTTTTCATTAAATAATTTCAACTTCAAAACTAATGAAAATTAATTCAATTAAAAAAAATATTCCCCATACTGAAATAGATATGACGCTTTAAAATCAATATTTTGTTATTTCATGATAAAATATTTTATTGTCAAGGTCCTATTGAAACTGAATAAACTGATAACTCGCTAAAACATTTATTTTTGTCACAAAAATATTACACGAAGGGATTTCCAAGTGTCATAATTTAACTATTGAAATAAAACGGTGCAATATACATTACATATATATATTGTAAATACTTTTAAAGCTGAAGTACTAAAAGATGAATTAATTAAATTAATTTGCAACTATTTATTTGTAATTCCAACTATACATTTATCGTGTCTCTATATTATTAACCATAATTATTCAAGTACTAACTATGTATTTTAGTACTCTAGTATAACTATGTATATTTTTCTGTTTACAAAGATCTTTTAGTTTAATATGCAGGAGAGTAAGCGAACATAACGTTTTAGTATTTATTATAGAAAATCAACGCTAGGTTAGACATATTTTCATATTATAATCGATGAAAAACTATTAATTTTTCAAAATCCTACCGCATCTACTTATTGCGAACTAACATAATCTCTATTAAGCCCTTATAATAAACCGAATTCGATAAACAACGGATACATTCTTTACATTTTTAAGCAGGTTAATTTTAAGAAATTAAAAGTGTTTTGTCAATTATATCGTCTGCTGTTATATTTTCTAAAACAATGAATAACTTTCAACTCCATACTGTGATTGCTTATGTTTTTTTACAGTTCGTTTTATTTAAAATAAGTCTCGAGACTCCACTCAACTCTTTAATATAATAATTACTATACAAATAATACACACACAAAAATGTGTGCGTTAACAATAAAGACCTCAATTACTACCTACTATATATTATGCCATTATAATAAATTTTATCTAAAACTAGTGAATTTTGTACAATGTTATTTGTATATTAGTAATGAATATTTCATTTACAGATATTATTTAAGTCAAATCATAGATAGGTACAAAAATATACAACAAATATATCACAATAGGTTCTTGTGCAGTTAGCATTAGCCGATTGGAATTGTGATATTTAAAAAAAACAATTATTGAAACCCACCGATTATGTATTATGGTTTTCCAATTTCATTTTCGCATTGCTACTTGATTGGAAACGTTTCTTTTGTGTAATCCTTCAAAATCCGACGCCTCCATAATGTATTAAAGCCCATATAATTGGTTATTTATCTAGTTTACTATCTTAATACATTGACACTAACTGTATAGTTATTATCTTAATATAAACTTTTATTATACATACATTATTAAACATTTTATATTAAGTAGTACAAAGTGAAACTTTATTTTCTCATTGAATTTACAAAAACCAAACAAACTGCAAAGTTAAAAAAAAGAAAATCGTTGAATTTCGCGTTAAAAATAATAGTTAAAACAATTATGACAAAAAAACAAAAACAAAAATTATATATACCTTAATTAGGTATGTTTACCAAGTTTCTTACTAACTTTTGTATTGGCTTTCTTCGTGGAATTTTGTGTTTTATTTAACGTAGTTACGGTAAACTCAATGTCCTTGGTACTTGGACGGTGAGCTGGAATTAAACGTATAGGTCGATCAATATAATATAACATATGTGCACGGCCAATAAAAAAACAAATCTTATCGACTGCTCACTAAAAAATTCTTCAACGGGTATTTCGATTTTGTCGTGATCGATCCACGTCAATCCCATTTCGACTTTCTCGGCCAGGTCTTTCCAGTGTTTGCGGTTTTCCAACGTGCCCTCGTACAACGGCGTGATCCACGGGAACGTGTCGCACAGAACCTAAACAAACAGAAGACCAACGTTGTCTTAATGTCGGCTGTAATTATAGTATATGTTTAGCCGAAATTGATTGCCGAACATTACTTTGTACAACGGCAGACATATGACGTCGATGAACTCTACTTGCATTTGGGGCAGTTCGTCTTTCTTTTCTCTGTCCATCATAGCCTGGTGAACAAAAAAATTGGTTTCAGAACTAGTCCCAATCGACCACGGTCGAATAGTATGTGTCTCGGGTCTTACCACCGGCTGTTGGTTGAGCTGTAGTTTTTCCAAATCGCCTTGGTCGAAAAATTCGTCGGCCACGAGTTTTGCCATCTTGTGCTGTACCTCCCAAGGTTTTGCTATGGCGCTCACGTCGCACGCGGTCATCAGGATACCGCACAACACTGGCAAATCACGAATACAATACCAGGTGTTATTATTACCGGTGATATCGTCCTAACCGGATGCCGAATTCCCGGTCGAGTCGCTACTTACGGGCCTTTTTCTCTTCGCTCTGCCAATCGAACTCTCCGTTTTCGACCACCTCCATGAACCGGCTTTTCTTTTTGAAATACATGGCCAAGTCCGTGGACAATATCGAGTTCTCCACCAATTTCATTACACTGCGGTAGTCCTCCGGCGAGAGCGCTTGAAATATATTGTTGCCGTCGCTGTTCAGGATCATCACGCACTGGTCGAAATGGTGGTGCTCCATTGTGCTGGTGGTGTAAAGGATGGCGAGCGGCGACTCGGTTTTCGTTTGAAACGCGTTGTTGGTGCCACGGTGGTCGAGATCGTGGCATAAGCACGCTACCAGCAAACCCAAAATCTGTAAACGATTTGTATGTTATAATTTAAAAAAAAAAACGTTTCTTCCCTTCAAGGTAAAACAATGGAGAACATGACTTATATCGGTACTTTTGGGAAGGAATGTTATTATACCAGATAAACCGCACCAGTCAGTCTAAAAAATGTGTTTATGTTCATTTTCTCCCGCTTCCCAATCTTTTCCACTCCTACCAACTCTTCTCCTTCCCTCACTTCCTTTTTTCCATCCCCGCTCTCTTGATGTCACAAATTCAGGTTAAGTTAGGTTAGGTCAGATCAAGCTCGCGATGCAAATTTTCGAGAGAGCTCCAGCCATAAGACATATTCATTTCAACAATACATAACAAGGGCACAGGAAACGAAAATGATATTTGTTTTAGGATAGATCTCAATATTTAAGATAAGTTATTGATATAAGTACCATTTTAAACATACCGACTAATTTAAAAGGAAATTAATTTCAATAAAAGGAATTAAATAATTTGTATGGAAATCTTTATCTATGGTGCATCTATTAAAGGCTCATTTTATAGTTAAGACTAAAGATATTAGGACATTAGAAGAAGATTTTTTTTAAATATTATTTTTTTTTTAAATGTTTTAAATATAAACGCAAAACTAAAATTTGGCGTTTAGCCTACTCTAAGGAGAAACTATACAATACAAAGCTAATATTTTATCTTATTGAAATGATTTTCATTTTGATTAATTTTTTTGCTAAACAGTAGACCCTGAAGAGTTGATATATTTTTTTGAAATATTAAATTGCTTGAAAATATATTCAAAATCCGTGCCGAATATTACTTACTTCCAAATCGCTCATAAACCTTTCCATTTTGCCGGTTTTCAACATTGCAAACATGGTCTGTGCCACATTCAGTGCATGCCTCCAGTTGTGATACTTTACGGGCCTATAGTTTTTCCGGACGCTAAGCACCCATTTGCAGAGCACCTGAAAAGTAAAGTAACCAAAGCACATAATTATTTTCGTTTAGTCTTTTTTTTTCATATAGAATTGAAATAGTTCAAAACATTGTTAGCGCAGCGCCTAGCGGACAAAATATCAGACAAGCAAGTACTCACGTGGTATGGAATTTGAAATTGCTGCACCAGATTGCACTGCAGGAACATCCTGATGGTAGCCTTGCACGTATCGTCGTCCGTCAAATCGAAATCGATGAATTTAAAACTGAAAACGATTGATACTTAGTGTTAAAACACTGATGAAAAATAATATACATACACACAACAATGTTCAATTAAGTTCATAAATATAAGTGCAATTTTCCTAAATTAAAGAATCGATGAATTTTTTGCTGTAATTGAAACATTTCAATGATGTTATACGACATTAGACAACTCCATAAAACACAAACATTGTTTTTTTTTAAACAAAAATGCATTTGTATTCGACCCACATTCAATGAATATTATCATTATCTTATAAACTTAATTGTTGTCATAATAGTTAACTACAAAACCAGTATGATAATATATTCTAACCTAAGGTAAACAAAATGACTACTATGAAACGTTAAGGATATACTGATATTTTTTCATGCCATTACGAATATTAAAATGTAGTTGATCATAAACGTCATAATTTCCCTTATTGTTACTTTATACATTTTAAAGAAACATCTTTTTTCCTTTTTTTTATGTTAAAAAAAACTTATTTTGTAATTTAATTATATCAGTGTGCCTCCTCCTTGGGGTACCCCAAGATGGCTCATTTTTTTTTCTTTTACTGCATCTTTATTGTTTCTGATTTTTATTATGATTTTTTATGAGAAATTATAACATCATTCGAAGAAAAAAAAACCATATATATCTACATTATTTATTAACGCGCAAGTTATTATTAAGTTCAATAAAACAATTATTTTTAACAAAAATTCTAATAAAACTTAGATTAACGAAAAACTAGATAATAATAATACATGTATGCATTGTTTATTGTTTTAAACGTGATATCTTTTTGTCGTAAATAATCAGTGAAACGCATATGAGCTTTCAATAGAAAATATTATCTATCAGGTTTTACTACTATATTATAGTATGTCCTTTGAGTAAATACTATTTGCACAGGTGGTATTCGTTGAATATGTATAATAGTATTTACCCGAGTTGAGCCCAAAACCAGCAGAAATAATCACATTTGAGTTTAAATAATTTCATTGAAAACCTAGGTACCCCCGGGGCCTTTGAATGGCCAAACAAAGGATTTATACAATGGAAATTTACCTGTATAAATTATAAGTTTCGGCCGACGGTATGGTGTCCTGGGCCAGTTTAATCGTATCGTCGACGGACGCGGTGGCGTGGTACGACAAACATTCCAAGGCTACTTTTTGTTTTGCCATTAGTTTGCCTGCAACACACACACACACATACGACGGTGAATAACAATAATGCTGTTGTACTCGAAACGAATTTTGATAATTCAATAATTGTTCAACGAAGACTTACATGCACTTTCATACATTTGCGTGTTGTGAATGCCAAGACCGCAGAAAATCGCAAACGCTTCGAACGTGGCTACGTCGCATTCTGTAAACGGCGTGCCGGTTTCCTTTAATTAAGACAACGTGCCATTGTAATTACAAGTTGAATTTGATTTCTTACACCATAATGACAACAATTATAATTGGTCGCAGAAATACGACCGACAGAGGCCGTGCGAGAAGGGTGTAACGATAAAGCGTCGTTATGTCATGTTCGAGACGGCAAAAGAAAGAAAACAACATCAACTCGTTTTCTTCAACACTTTTATTACCAAAGTGTAATCCGACTTTTGGGCCGAGGCCCTTATACAACAATAACAATACAGTGGGTAATAATTCGAAGGCGCGCTCCGAGCGCTCAAGTTCCCTCGTAGAAGTTTGTTTAATTAACACCGCACTGTGTAAAAGTAACGTCTTCATCGAACACTACTCCATTCGCAAGTTTTTCCATTAGCTCGTTGTCGTTCGTTTAAGTTTAATCTAATATTTATACGGTCTAAAAGCTATTCGAAATAATTACACGGCCCGATCCGCGTTTAATCGATAACTCGCAAAGGTATATCTGTATTACAACAGACAACAGTGTATTTTTCTTTCTTTTCTTTTTTTTTGTGTGTATGTCTGAACCGATTTCTCCATGTAGTAACCACCCTATTGATCAGAAATCGTACCGGAAAAGTACTTTATTGAGCCGAAAATTTCAAAAGTTCACTCCTTCCTCTTTAAAATTGCGAAAAAAAGTATATATTAAAAGTATCTAATTCTATAACTTTTTCAAAAATAGTCAAAATGTATATAGAATATTCTTTAAACATAGTATTATCAATATACGTTAAAAAACTAATAAAATATCAAAACCCCTTTCCCACAGATGTTACCTGTTCAATTGTACCTTATTGCTTATGGTATGAAAATTAGACTGAAGATTGTTCTAAAGTAGGGCTATTACATGAACGATATTTTTTAAAAATCTGTAATCAAACCTTTTATTTTATTAAGGACCCCCCCCCTAAAAAAAGGGGGAGGGGGAAATTACACTTTGAACGTAGTAAATTTCTGGGTTGCTATGCGAGATCGTGAAACAAAAAATTAGAGATCTGCAAATTAGTTTCTTTATGTTTCTTTTTGCGGAAAACAACGTCAATTATTATCAACCGTTTATCAGCCCTTTTGTCGTACCTTGTTTATTAGCTGTGCCACGCCGATCACCTCTTTTTTGCCGTTTAAAATGGGCATGCACAGTATAGCTTTGATGGACGGTTCGTTGACGTCGATGCCGTCGTCGCTTTCGACGCTCCGCTGTCGATCCAAAGAATTGGCCCACAATTGCACGTCCGGTATGTTGGAAACCTGGAGACCGTTGACAAAAAAAAAGATAGAATGAAAGAATAATATAAAAAAACTGGCAAATAAAAAACTTAACTCGAGCGAGCAACAAAGATTATAGTCGTTTCCGTTTACCTGAACCGAATTGGCCACCCCGTGCGCTATTTGAAGCAGCTTGGACGGCTTGACGTTTTTGTTCATTTTTTTCACACCGTGTTCCCGGTCCAACTCGAAAGCCGTTGTAAATTTGATTTCCTACACAATTTGGAAATCGATCAAAAAAGGTTCCCCGCGCGTACAAAACTATACAACTATATTATTATTGACTATCCCGGCAGTTACCTTTTGTGGCCTGGAAAAAGGCGGACCGTCTTCGGCCAACGTATCGGTGCTCTGAAATAGATAATAACAATAAAGATATTTGGTTTTTTGTCCGTGGCTGAAACTGTAATGTTACTTTTTTATTCGACAAGTTTTTCTCGATGGAATGATTTCCCGGCTTGGCTCCGAAGTGTTCTAAATGGCTCTATCGAAATATATACAAGGACCGCATAAGTCAATATAATCAAACACAAGACACAATGCTATGATAGTAATAATGTAAATATGTGTATATCTGAAAAAAAATCAAATTCCACGTACAGCTTCTTCGCATTCCAAGTCCAACAGGAAGACCACGCATCGTTCGCATTTTATCAGATCTCGGGCTTGGGTCATGATTTTAGAAACCAAACAGTCCAGGTTGTTTTGTTCTTCGAATATGCTTCGGGCTAAACCCAATAACATCTATGTAAAAAAAAATAATAATAATAATAACAACCGTTAAATAAACACACGGGCTTCTTTAAACTTGACATAATATGCGGGTAGGAAACGTAATCCGAGGTCATGCCTCGGAATCAATATTTCCTAAAACCCATTTGTGTATTATTGTTTTTATTACACGTTGAAATTTATTTTGGTCGGTAAAGCGAAACGACTTGCAATAAACTTGGTGGCAGGTATTTTGAATGATAAGGAAAAAGTTTTCCCGAGCAAAACTTCCCGGAAAACTAATTTGGCCGCCGATGGGAAATATTATTATGTAAGAGAGAAAAGAGAGGAAAAACAACTCTGGCAATGGTTTTCTCAACCGACGAGAAATAATGAATCGTTGGATTATTAATGCAGTAGCTAATAACGTCGGCAAAATATGCCAAACAAAAAAAAAAGGTACGCTCATAACGTCCCAAGGGTTTTGATAATCGACTAAAATAAAAATAAATGTAAAAAGCTTTCCGAAGACTTTATTATTTATCCACGAATAAAAAAGAAAAAATTAAAAGTTACCTGTTATATTCCAACAAGAAAATGAAATCAGTACATGGTGGTATTTTTTTTTTTATTATTATGAAAATTTATCTTCTTTATTTAATAGATAATCAAGTTTAAATATTATCATAAAACCCGCTGTAAATAACTTTGGGCGGACATAAAACTATAATTTACCCGTTTAATTTCGTCATCTCGCAATTCATACATTTATTTTATTTTTCCTTGCATAATTCTATGATACTATAAACCATGAGATTACATGCGCATTGGCAATAACCATAACAGTGCTACAGTTCTCTTAACGAGAGTATATACTATTCAGAATGTTTTTAACGGCGGCCGTAATATAGTTAATGAACATTTTGAATGGCGCAATAATTGCCATGGACGAGAACAAAATATCTTTATCGTTATTATTATTACCTGATTCCTTTGGAATTCTTGAATAGATTTTTCAAACAGTTGAGCATTTTGTATTCCGATTGCGCAGAACGTCAAGTACCTCTGGAATATCTATAAATCACACCAACGAAAGCGTTTATTAAACTTTCTTAATTAATATTGAACTGTGGCGCGAGATGGATACTCGTCGAGGATGCGATCAAGATGTAATTATGATTTCACTTATATTACTCGTACGAATCTTTCTTCGTTTATGGTTTTCTAAGTAAAATGTTTGTGCAAAACAGAAAACTTTAAACTACCAGCGGTAGTCTGAAAATTTAACGATAGACTACCACCAAATTTTCAGTGATAACTCCGAAACGCCATTACACTTAATTTAATTTAACTTAAATTAGCGAGCAAATTGACGCAGATTTTTTATTCAACTCTTAGCTATAACAATATAATATCCCTTTGCTACAACTACAAACGTTTCGAAACAATCAACATTGTTGTATTTAGAAAATTACCCTTACAAAGGGTACTAAATTTTTTTAAATCTAATTTTATTTAAATAAATATATTTTTAACAATATTAACTATTTTTGGTAATTTCATATAATAAAAAACATGTTATAACATTTTTTTATTTTGCTGAGACATTTGTTTCGTATGATACACTAAACCATTAATTTCTGAAGATTATTTATGAATTATACAAATCTAAAGTAATAAAATATTTTAAAAGAAGTCATGTTATTCTGTTTCCTAATTTTTTTATTTATGAATATGGCAACACGTGGTATAAACTCTAACTGATAATTTTTTTTTGTTTATACATTTTCTCTATTGTATGTAATTTTAATAAGTAGGTACGTTTGTGATGGTAGATGTAGTTTATACAGCATATTATTACCATTTAAAGCTTACTTTATTATTGATACCCCGTTTTTCGAACTGGCCTGGCAGTTATTATTATTTCTTTAATTTTTCGAAAGGAGTTTCGGCGCAAAGCAAATGTATTGGTTTTGTTTAATTGTTGCACAATTGAATTGGAGTGTTGTTGAAATTAAAGTGTGGCGATAGTGACCGATATTTAACTATTTTATACTGTTTTTGGAGTATGGCCAATGTAATCAGTCAGTTGGTTTAACGTTAGACGAATTACAATGAAGACGGTCTAATTTAATACGGGTATTGCGATAATCGCAGTGTAAACTCAACGATATTTAGTGAATCGATTACAATTAACACTGCTATTATATACCTCGACGTCGTGCTCGGTAAACGAATTGCTGCCGTCAGTCTTGTTGATTATTTGAGCCACGCCGATCACGTCGTTGTCGTAGTTGCAAATCGGCACGCACAGTATCAGGTTTGTCGTATAGCCCGTCCGGTGATCAATTTCTCGGTTGAACCGCGGATCCTAAACAAACACAATACTCGTTAAAGTTCAAGTTACTTTAAGGGATGTAAGCCCCAATTGGAAACCGAGTGACCGTCACGCACGGCTTAACGTTGGTCGACGATTAGATATGTACAGAGAGACGCCGATAGATTACATTTGTCTTCTGTCGTTTAAAGCAAACACAGATATACCGCAAAGACGGTCCGAGATCTAAGACAAACAAATCCCCACAAACAATACGGCCATCCGGTTAAAGACAAACTAGCCAAAACAATCGTTACAATACACTCTTATCTTTTGTGCCGGGCCATTCTGGTCGGTAGAATTAGACACTGGAATCCTTGCCTCCTACCCATTGCCGCGTTAGAGAGGAGGAGGGATATAGCCAACTTCACAAAGCCCGTGGATTTGTGAGGCCGATTACAGTGACAGAAAAAGATCATGTTGTAGTAGTTATCTATAATTAAATAGTTCAACTTGGATAAAAACTTAAAAGAAACGATTGGTTTTACGTTTTTTTTTTTGTTAAAAACTCGTGCGTTTGAAATATCCTAAGTCTACCTAAAAAAAAAACGGGATGACCGTTAAAACTCCTTAAAATTATATTTCAAAAAACATATTGTTTCACTAGCTTAAATTACAATTTGTACATTATGTGAGTTGTACAATTCTAATAGAAACGTTTTGCTAAAAATTTTAAAACAATTTTATGTGTATAAAATATTATAAGGTTGCTGTATATTTTATCTATTGGCCAATTATTTCAAAAATCTTAAAACCGATTTGTCTTTCCGTTTTATGATAAATATTAAATAACATCCAAAAATACTTCAAATTCTTTATCAAGTATATCTTTATAGCTAGCCATATCATAGGGGGAAACCACTCGCCTCTCCGGGACGTCTTTTTCAACCAAATCTTAAGGGAGTTTTGCAGGTCTCTTTTTCTCTTATTGTTGCCAACATCTGTGTTCGTTTAAACACCCGTCTTCGCGTGTATAGTCACACCCTCTAAATTCCAACCCGTCCATCCATTTTTTTTTCATGTATGATGTACATAAAAGTTAACCAAACTTAACCCCACTCAAAAAAAAAATAGGAAAAATAATAATACCCCGCGTAGCAGGTAGCTGAAGCACTTACGCCGGTTTGGGCCAACAAAAACAATGGTAAGACAAACGGGTTTTATATTGAATTATAATTAGGGTCACATGTTGACGTAGTGCTCAACGCTTTCCACTCTTTTTGTATAATACTATAATCCTGGTACAGACGGCCTCGAGGTTATGTACGTTTAAAAAAAAACCTGACATTTTAAGGGTCGACGTTTTTATTTTTCAGTATTTTATTATATTAAGCTCTTCAATTACGAACGAATACATTAATATAATCACCAAGAACTCAGAACTTTGTATTTTCTCCTTGTTTGTTCGCCCTTGTTACGATACGTTTTTTTTTTTTACTCGACCCAACCCACAAAGTAGAAATGCAAAAACGGCTTAAAATAAACATATGATTAATTTATGTGTTCGGTATGACGTGCGAGACGTTCAATTTAAAACAAATAACCGAGTGTCTCTCAAAAACAAATGTGTTATTTTTTACAACCGCCAAGAGAAAAATGTTGACATTTAATAAAAAAAAGGAAACCTAATTATTCTAAAACCAACAACGAATAAATGATTAATACAAAAAAAATCTAAAACCGAACATCGCATATTTGAGAGTTAAAGTTTACTTAGCCAAAATTAATCATTAATTTATTTGTAAAAAAAAAAATAATAACAAAATACGTATAAAAGTAGTATCCGTCGTTAACTTCACCGCAGTAACTTGTTGTATATAACTTTTGTACAGATTGTTGTTTTTTTTAATAATAAAAAAAAGCCTAGAAAAAGTTTATACGAATAATTTCACTTAAAATGAATTATGGTTGGAATTTCATATCCAGAAACAGATGATTATTTTTTATTTCTGCCTCTCGGTGGCCTTTGGCAATAAATTAAAAACGGAAACTTATAAGAAGTTGGAATTTCCGACATTGTTGTTTTCGCATTTTCAAACATTTCGGGTTACCGCAGTTTTCCTTTGATGTAATGCGTTTCGGAATTTTAACGGAATGCTTTACTTTTCCACGTTCATACATTTTATTTAAAAAAACAACACTGCTCAATTCATTCAGGTAGCTCGACCTCGAACTTGTGTATATAATATATGAGTTGTGTACATTGCCGTATTCGAAATGGGTTACATTTATGAGCCCATTTATACCGCTTACGCGACTTACCTTACTCCTTCATGTAAAAAGCTCTATCTCAATTTCTATCTCATCAAATATTTTAAATTCTCTATTTTAGTTTAATTTGTAACGTTAATATTCATATAATTGGTACTACAATATACTAATATTATACTATTATAAACAATCACCAATCGATGAAACATTAATTATTAAATGTATACACTAGTAAACTATAAAATGAAGAAAACACTAGTTTTTTTTAATTAATAATTTTTTTAACATGAATTTTTTTGTTGTTTAATAAACTTTATTTACCTGATACGCGTTTTTTATATTGACAACTTGTTTGGTTTCCGCAACGGTTCCGGCCACTCCAACGCCGAACGGTATTTGGATTTCTTCAGTTTTCGCCTTGTGTACCGCATCAGTAAGTTCTAAAACGAAACAAACATGACAATTATAAACTTACGGTTCAAATGTACATACATTTGCCCTACATCCAGACGCTGTAAAAGAAAATAATATGAAAATTATACAATGTACTCCATAAAGTATGCTCGATATCCGATCAATTGGAATAAACCGTTAGTGTTTTGAGTTTTAACGTTTATGCAAACTAGTAAAATTTCAATTTTCCATTAAAAAAACCCCAATACAATTTATGTATAGAGTAAAAACTGACAGTCAAAAATGTATTACTTCCTTTTTTACCGTTGTATAATAAATCACAGTATCGATTTTAATTTCAAAACTTTCAGCTGCCATTTCCTAATATTTTTCGGAAGCTCAAAATATACTTTATGATCCGGCTACAGTTTCTTCCAAGACAAGCGAAGGAAGTGTAACGAGAAATACTATTAAATTATCTAAAATAAACACACAAGACTGCCGAGAAGACAATATTTAAAAGCTCTAACGTACATTATATTTTTATTGATTGTAGCATTTACACAGTGCAACTGTTTCTGTGCTTTAACAGATAACACATTTTTTGTCTACCCCCTCTTAAACATAAATTAAAGCACAAAGTCAAAATTAAATCCTTATTGCTCATCAAGACTTATTGTATTAGTATAATTATTGTAATACCATATTTTGAATATAGAATGGTTCGTTTGAAAAAATATGCTCTACTCTCAATTTATTTGTTAAGACTTGAAATTGAAACATCTACTTCGAATTTTCTTTCAGCTTATACATTTATGACAAACATTTCACTGTTAAAAACACTCTTTCTGATAAAATTAATTTTAAGTACTTCTAGGAGTGCGTTAGAAATGCACTAGTTTCAAAAAAGTCATTTATATGCAGCTCTAATCAAATATCTAATCAACAAACCAATTTTTCTACTTAAAATCCCGTCCTGTCGAAGTTCAAGTTAACAGGATCTGTACCTGTTGCACGCGCACCACCGAGAGAATATAATATTATGTTCACAGTGCTAGGGCAAAAAAATAACTCATCGGGCTACGGCTGACATCCACACGTTGATGCATGATTTCCCGACAAAGGGCGAACATTTTAGATTGATAGCTTACACCGTCATATTATTATTATACTATGAATACACACAATACGATCAACGCGCATTACTTATAATATCTACAATGAACACCACGTCGGACAGCCCGTATTGTCCACGTGTGAATATTTTTATAACACCCTAATGGCATTCGTCAACAAAAAAAGAAGAAAAGTAGCAAAAAGCAAAAGAAAAATTTTACAAGACGTTCTGTGGAACATGGCGAACGGGACTTCTGCCGTACCTCGTTTCGTTTCAAGCCGAGAAAACTTACAATACATCAATAAACTTGTACCGTTTCGACATTGATTTGTGTCAACAAAGATGATAATCAAAATAATATAAAACTGGACAAAACACACAAACCAATATTACTTTAACAAGTTACGGATTTTTGTCAAAAAACAAAATTGGATCAATGCTCAGGAGTGTATTTATCGAAATTATTGTTAACTCTTATTTACTAATATTTTTGGTGGGGTTTAATTAAAGCAAACAATGAAATGTGTTAATTCAATGATAACGTGAACCATCGAAAGAATAAATTATTATGTTAATATTGTATTATTTCATTATTTTAATTTTGAATGCCGTTACTGTTATGCAGATGACATCATGTTAATTAGAAATGCAAATACCCCTTTTAATTTTCGGCTGAATCTGATCGCCTCAAAACTATTATAATAAACCATAAACATGAGTAGGGGATATCTTTGAACTTCTTCCCTCTCGCCGCCCTAGTTATTTTCTTTTACCCAACACACGGTCGATCAAATTTTCATACAAAGTGTTAATATGAAAGTATACGAATAGAGTTCGTGTTTGATGTTCTCAATCACGCCCAATTATCGGCTCCTTTTTAGTACACTTCTTTTGCTCTTGACTTATTTACATGCAGACACCTGGTAGTGAGTTACGATGAAAATAAAAACTAAAAATCAAATTAGCAACAAGTGATTGAGATTGGTTTAAACGGATATAAGGTTTATGACTCTTTTTCTATTCTGTATTGGTCCTTATTAACATTCTTTACAACGTCATTTCCAAGTTTTCAGAGTACCTACTTAAACATGGAATACAACCATGGTGAAAATATGTTTTTTTTTATTAAAACAGAGATCAGATAGACGTGTACGACGATGACGAACTTAATGCAGTAAAATATGTAGCAATAACGCAGTGACTTGTCGCTCGTAAACGCTAGAAAACATTTTTACGAGACAGCCGAGTATTATTTTCCAGATCTTTAAAGTACATCATACTTAACGCGAGCATTTTTTTATAACCGAGTTATTTCAATATACTTATATTATACCAGCGTCGCCTGAATGTGATGCCGCCGCTGCGGCAATGGGGAAATTATTGATTTTACACTGTCTATTGTAGTTTCTTCTGTTATTTGCTTAACCGGCGCGTATCAATACTAAAACGAGGATAATGTACTTAACCGACATTGCACAGGTATTTTATGTCGTCACCGAAGGAGCACAATCTCCGTAATAGGTTTAACACACGTTGTCGGTATTATTATAACAAGAACAATACATAATATTATTATGACGTGTGTGTGTGTGTGTGTGTACAGCGATCGCGTGATAGCGTTTTGCAGGTATCTTAAATTATATTTTTTATTGATCACAGATAATAAAATGTATTATGATAATAACATTATACTCGATGAAAATACTGGCCATGATCCGTGAACGCGTGATGTTTTGTCAATATCACCGGTTCCCGTGGCCATGGTATTTTAAATAGAAGTATTTTCGCTTGTAAAAACATTGTTTGAATTCCAAATTCGTGTCTCGCTCGCTTCAAATGAAAATATAAATTTTTACTTTGCTGGCTTGTTACCATGCCCGTGTCATATGCGCTCCATTAATATTACAAGAGCGTTTTGAACGTTGCGAAGAGCATATTAAATCTAACTTTACAAAATTTAATTAGTCATTAGTATTCAACTAAAGAAAAACACATAAAGCTCCAAATTGTATAAATCAATGTTTCCGAAATTTTCAAATCGCGACTTAAAGTTAAAAACGTGAATCGTGTTTTCGCCACAAAAATAACTAAATAAAGAACATGGTTTTAAAAAAAATAAACCTCACTTCTCAACTAGGGATGGGTTCTTAACTATAAAATGCGCGGTTACACGTTTTTGGAGTATGGCACCCGTTAATTGTGACTTATACAAACATTGTAAATCGATGAAAAATATTCCACATAAAACACATTTGAAATTATCGAGTACACGTTAATGTAATCCAGGTGCCGTACGGACATTTCAAAATTATGCATTTTACTAACTTCAAACGGAACACTTCAAATGGATTTGTTATTATTATTTTTTTTTTTTTTGCAATAGGTTCGTTAAGTAGATGAGTAAATCATATTATGGTGTGTTCGCTAGTAATATTAACAACCTATTTCCACTAACGTTGCGCGTCTGAACTCCATACACAAGTACTCAGGTAAACTATGCAAAACCATCCGGGAAAACCGCCGGAGTAACGTCAGACTTGTATAAAACCTTCGTTATTTGCATGAAATCGTCGTTATTTGGGTCAAAAACCATTGTGTATCCTGCGTAAAACGATGCCATTTAGAGCCCTCGTGTCATTCCGGGAACGGAGATAAAACCGAGAACGCCAAACTTGGCAATCTGATCCGACCTAGATAAGAGCATTCGTGTACTACGAAAATTCGCTACATTAAGTCCTAGCGTGCACGGGATGAAGACAGTGGTAATATTGCGTTACGAGAAAATAAAAACACCAAGCATATTATCATAAGTCTTGGTCGAGTAACTCGCTAAGAACATTATTGTACATCAGTAGCCGGTTAGTGATAAACTAGTCTAGTGTGGCGCATGAAATACATTAAAAAAAAAAAAAACGCATATTATCGAATTTTTTATCGTCTTCGTAATCGTTTCAAAACACGTCTGTCTTCCAACAACGAACTCGGCTCTTTAAGAGTGAGTTTTTTTCAATTTCATAACGTGTACACCTTCATAATAATAACGTTTCTTACACACGCACTGTTGTCAATTGTCGTTTCATAAAACGGCAAGCTTAGTGTTTTATTTTGTTTATCTGTATACACTGAAACGATGGTTTTTTTGTTCAATAAAATGTAAAACTATAAAATTATTGTAATGTAGGTATAGCTGGCAGTTGACAGTAGCAACAGGCATGTTACGTAGGTACCCATATAATTACATTTATACACGAGTATTACTCAGTATCCGTATTTAAAATTACAAAAGTTTTGTCATTTTGAAAACAGTTTGATATTGTCTACGAAAATCGGTTCAATCTGTTGGATTTCGTCGACACTCCTTACGACTTTTCAAGCATCTATTGTATAATACTGTTTTAAAGTGTACAATGTAATGGCAGATGGCTAACTCATTTTTCTAAACTAACGCTGTTATAGCATAATTTGCTTGAACTGGTCAAATCGTGCACAATCAAACTAAAATAGAACCGTTTCGATACACATTTATAGCTGTTATATGTATGCAATATATAATGTATGTTTAATCGTACAAAACATATAGGTACCTGACCTAATGGTTATTATTATAATATTGTCTAATTAGTTATGTTCGAATAAACTTTAACCGACATGACTCGTCAGCATGTTGCTAAATATTAGTTAATATCCCTCAATGTTGTGCATAATGTGTTTAATTACCTGTGTCTACGGTAACATCGAACAACTTGGCTACTAGCTGTTTGCCCCTGACCAGGAACAAGCTGCCCCGGTCGGCTCTGGTCAATAGTCCAACGTTGACAAGTATTTTGTGACAAAGCACGTCGATGTCTAGTTCGTTGGACACGTCCCGAATGAGCTCCATGAATAATTCCCCTTCGTCCAAAAGCCCCAAGTGATGTCTCCACTCCCCGCTGCTTCTTGTCGCCCTGTAAATATTAAATATTTAGCCATTTTTCGCGTTTTCCAACGTCTATCTCGTTGATGTACTAACAATAACATTGTAACATTATAACATTGTATACTTATAACGCGATTATATTATGTAAATAAAATGGTTAAATACAAATTTAAAAAAATAATAACATAATTACAACCCCATTAACGATTATTGAGCCTTTGTTAAAACACACATTTATATACATATATTTGTCACAAAAACCCACAAATCTGTAAAGTTTAGTTAGTACCAGCAATGCATTATATTATTGTAGGAAACAGTTGCGCTGAACACGAGTGTCTGATGAGGTGGGTGGCTGATCTGAACTAATATGTCATACAGTAGGATTAAATATTAATGATATTTGTATGTTATGGGTGAATTTATTTTGTGGTTTGGTGGGTGTAAAATATGTTTTCCTCCAGATGTTAGAGGATGGAAAAGCGCAGAAACCGTTTAGAGTTAATAATTACTGCCAGAAGATTCGTCTTAGGTATAATCACAGCTGATCAGTTTGTCACTGAATAAGCTAAACTACGCGCGTTATTCAACGGGCAAAACGCGGTTTAATAAGATTTGCATAATTCGTGTTTAGGATGCGTTGATTGCGATTTGCAATGAGCCCAAGACCGAATTAACGTACGCTCCGTTGCCTGAAATCAAATAACTACCCTATTTTGTCGTCAACGACGGACGGGTTGCTTGTATACTTTGTCTGTACTATGTAGAACGCCTCTATTAAAATATTAAATTATTATTAGCCTTTAGCAGCGTCCAAAACTGTTGTGCAAAACTATTGTGTAATAAAGAAAGCTAAATATATATAAATATACCTTGTTTGCTTCGATAATGACAAAATTGTAATTTTTTTTTCAAAAAAAACAAGAAAAAAACCACCTAGCTATGCAAAATTAACCCGTGATGAAAATAACCAAAATAATAATCCAAGGACGAGACGTCAACATAATATTAAACTCGAAATCTAGTCAAAAAAAAGTATTGAAATTGTTCGAGTTACACAGTACTATTTATTGTGAGTCGAATCGTTTTATTGAACACTAACAAACTAACAGCGTGGAAATGAAAAACTTTATAGCCTATAGTAAGCGTTGAGACTTGAGTACAAATGAAATGTTAACTGAAAGGCGAGGAGAGTCCATCAATAAGCAAGTCGAAAACTTGGACTTCACGTCCGCCACGATTTCTTAAGTCTTCATTCAACGTCAAACGTAAAATGAATCAACGGATATTCGCCTTATGGCAATCTCAATGGTTCCAACGAAATGCGTTTGTTAGCGTGTTAAATGATTAATGTATTTACCTAAAATATATTAAATTCGTGAGAAAACTAAAAAAGTTAATTTTTTTTCTGTACTTAACATTGTACCGTTCGTGACAATGCATGATTTGTTGAATATTTCTATTGTGTATTATGTGAATAACTGTAATATATTAGTACTGTAGGCTTTAAAGTAGATATTTAGGTACGTTAGTGTAAAAATGAAGCCGGAAACGTTTTTTACACGTTATACTAATAAATTTTGTATGTATAACAATGAATGTAGGGAGTAATATAAAATTTGTAAAATTTAGACCACCAGAGATTTTGAGCTGTGAATATAGGGTGTTTTAGTAAAATGTACCTTTTGAATGGCAGTAATTACTATACAAACACAATATTACAATTTTAAAACGTGGTCGGAATATAATAGAGGAATAACGCGGACAAGAATACAATTTAATTAAATAACATTTAAGTACACCGGAATAGAACAAGCGTCGGGAAAGTGACCCATACGCTGGCATGTTGTGCAATCGACGGTATGTGACTAGGCCGTCCCCGGGCAAATACAGCAATTGAATTCTCCGGACAAGATATAATGCTTTTACCTGTTTGGGGACTTGGCCCGTTTGATCGGCGAAGATGCCAGCCATGTATTGAACATTTCGGATGTCATGGATGCGCGTTTGGCCCGGCCGACCGACAACGAGCCGGCACGGTGCTGGAGCCGCGCCCTGACCACTCGTTCCACCAAGTCCTGCGGTGCTCTCTCGCATAACCATCGCTCCACTTCGTCTGCGTCCAAATCCATCGTCGACCGGTGTCGGTATCACATTAAAGCAGTGCTCGTTCGTTGACCAAACATCGTCACCGTACGGTCTCTGCATAATAAAAGAAAAACGCAAAATAATTAATTACATACTTTTTACACTGGGTCCCGTTCAGAAGATGGAATTATGAAGACTGCAAAATTTCATAATTCTCAACTGGTCTATTCCTATGTAGTTACTTTGTTTGTAACAGCGCAAATTTCATTAGTTTTGATATTTTATGGAATATTTCGTATTGTGTATAATATTAAGTCCGTAAAACAAACAGAAATATTAATTAAAATATTACAAATGTTCAATACAGATTTTAAATACTCATAAAGTCAATTTACAAACTAATGGTGTTTGATCAACAGTTGATAAAATTCCAAAAATAGTAAAATCGCTACAACATCAGTATAATATGACTGTTGCACAACAAAGTAATTAACTACTTATTATTTATTAAAAATTTATATTATAAAAAAACCCCTTATGTGTATTCCTATAATTTTAAATTTTGTTTTTATTTTTTTATTTTTAACTAAAATCCGCTATTAGTCGCTGTGGCAAACATGTATTTTTTACAATAATATTATATTAGGTATATTTAAAATTTCATTACTGCTGTTTCCAATGTTATAATTTCTTATATCTTTCTAATTTCTTTTATCTTTGGGTAATTTACAACATTCAATAGTATAGTATTTTTTTTTAATTCATAGTTAATGTTATCAGTTATTGTATTTAACATTTTATCCAGATTAGAAAGTTGACAAGTGCAGTGCAATTGTTATAAAAGCGACGGCGATTACAAAGTCTGTAAACTATATAATTTGATGTAATGATATATTTTATTAAAAGGCGTTACATTAAATTGTATACAACGAAACGCCTTAATCTGTACTTTCTCAGATTAATTAAGATTTACGACTATCAAACAATCGCGATGGATGCTCTGATTAAATAATACATTAAGCATCTCAAGGTTTTGGTTAAACTGCAGTGCGCGTCTTCGGTATAAAATAAAGATCTTATTTCGGTAGTATAACAGTCAAGGCTGCTATTTTAAAGCCGAAATATAAAAAAAAAATAAAATGATAATAAAAAAAAAACGTTTTTTTTCAAAATGGGATAATTAAACACTTGTTCTATTATAAGTGTCTCGTATTATACAATTTTCACATTTGAAAGATCTTGGACTGTTCTTAAAAATAGTAATTGCAAGCTTAATTCAACGACCAACGTACTTCAATTTTTTAGAGAAAATGATGCGTGATTGTTAGTCGACCTTACAGTACACCTACCTTGGTTTGTAACACGCATTCCGTGAGCACAGGACGTTATTCATATGCGAGCTTTAATCAAATTTGGACCCTATTACTGAACGCGCAACTCCGATTTTCATATTTAATTCAGAACTTACCAACGGTTCGTCCGTTTTTAACTGTTAAAAAAATGGAAATTAAACATTTTTTTTTTTACATAAATTACAAAATGTTTAATTAAAACTATGGGAATATTGTCTGAATAACGTATTTGCGTTAATACCGCAAAATTACTATAGATTTACCGAATTTTCAACAAAAATAAAACGAGAAAATTTGTATTAAGTTTATATTTTATACCCACGTAGAATTAACAGCTGAAAATGCTAATAAGTAAATCGCTAAGAATAAAAATTTTAAAGAGATAATAAACATTTTTATATTGCTTATACGATTAATGTGCAAACGTTTTTTTTTTTTAACACTAATATCACACATTGCCGTCTGTAATGTCTCTGTATAGTTCATTTGTGTAAGTATTTTATGCCTTTTGGTAATTTTTATACATAAGTTTGTTATATTTTCATACCTACCATGACGATCTTATACTGTCAGAAATTATTCAAAAATATTATAATTACAATATCGATTGCACTAGTATAATTGTAATGGCATAATTAACGTGGCAATATGCATCAACATTAATATTCACAACGTTGCCGTAATTTTATCATTTATCTCATTTTCTTCTTTTTTTTTTTTTGCAAATGCATACAAAAACATAACCGTAATTTATGTATAACTGTTGTTTTACTGTGAGTACGGACAAATGTCATGACCTGATTGCGTTATCTGAATATGAAATATATGATAATATGTCACGATAATATTTTAGATGGAGAAAATAATAAACGAACAACAAATAATGTATTTATACTAATAGGCGTGTTTGCGCACAGGTATCAAGACGAACAAATGTATATGTGCAAATTCCCTAATTAGTTATGACGACTTAGTTTGAAATATATGTTTGCTTTCGGCTCACCGTTAATGGCGTTTCATTTTATTTTATGCGCCGAAAGCTGTGTACATAAAAATAAATGCTAAAAATATAATATAAAAAGCTCGATGTAATGTCGACTGGATAATCGAATTATGCCGTACTGAAATATACATAAACACGGTAAATTGAAAGGGACTGATATGGTAAATCGAAGCTTAAGTGCTTCTGAGAAAAGTCTACTCACGGACTACCGATTTTCCTTCCCCCTTTTCCTATATATATTTATTATATACACAAACACAATATAATTTATAGCTTTCTTCTTTGCATTTTATAGTGAAAAAATACCGGATAATGCAGTACAACTTTAACTTATACGCATATAAATAGATAACGCTTGCCCAGTCTTTCGAAAAAAATAATAAATAATTGGTATTTATAATACTATATTTTATATTTTCTGTTATGCAAATACTACCCAACGTCGCAGTTTGTATCAAACCAATACAATATGATTTAGAGTACTTTTATCTACTGATTGTCTTACTGAGAAGTTTTTCGAGAATAACAACAACAAACGTTACGCTGAAAACAACTTATTTCTCTAAACGGCTCTAAAAACGTTTAATACTATCGTTTAATGATAAAATATTACACTATTATCTCATAAGAATATTTTCCATGTTTATTTAACTGCTCAAAACAAAACCGTTTCAAGTAAATTGTGTACGTTCGTCTAATGTACACCAAAGTTCAATTAAAACTAATGACCTAATCTGGTTGACTTTTATTAGTAATCTATTTGTACCGACAAATCCAAATTCAAAGAATGTACACCTGATTGCACTTTAACACAACAGCTGTGTTTCAACGACAGACGACAGTAGCACTAATTCACAGAAATACTTGTAATTTAATTAATCCAGCAGTTTTTAAACCGCCATTTTATATTTTTTAACTGTGTAACCGTACTATGAAACTTTCCAGTGTAGAAAATACAATATGCATCAAAACAAATATTCTGTAGCTTAATATTTGCAAAGTAAATCTGTTCAAACGTTAAGCTTAACAACCGTACTGTCCAATTTGAACCAGAAATAATATATTCTCCATCACGTACATTGATCCGTAAAGAACTCAGAATGAAATAGTAAGCTGCAAGGTACAATGGTCCGCACTAGCAGTACAAAAATATTCATTGAGTTGACTGAATAAAATTCGTCAACAACAACAACATACTCGTATTACAACAACCAGAACTTGATACATAAGTATAAAATTAATAATGCAAAAATATTATGACCATTTAAAAAAATAAATTTTTCCCCTTAAACAAATTTTAAATTAAATTAAAATTATACCAACATATTTTTTAATTATAAATTTATCTAATATAACTCTTAACTCGCTATCAGACATTACAAATTTACATTTTGATACACGTACACTAGAAAAGTTATAAATGGACTGGTTTCTATTTGTTCACTAGGGCCATTATAAGAACTATTAATTTGGCAGCGCGTCATATACAGATTACACTCTACAATCAACTTATAGCCTGTTAATGCCTAATGGTAGTAAACTTTATAGTAAATTAGTTCAAAAATAAAATTGGAATTCTTCCAGACTATTAGCTCGAACCAAAAGATAAATATATACAAAAAAAAGTAAACAGTAGGATAAACGGATAATTTTTGGCTTTTAAAGTATGCAAATTTATATTTAAAGAACACACAAAGCTAAATTTAGTTTTAATTAATTTTATAATTTCAAAGAAACATTAAAAGTTGCAGATTAAGTCTTGGCCTGGAAACGGTTTTGTTTGGCAAGCCACACAATTATAGTAATTATAAATTGTAAGCAATTTTTTAACAAACGTCATAAAAAATAATATTACATATTATTATACGAAACACGTTGAATGCCTCATGTCGATTTACCTAGAACCTGTGTATACAATGTGTTAACACGGTGTTACCACAAATAACCATATATTATTTATAGTAGACATATCGTACAAGTCTGATATTTATAATCGAATTATTATTGTAGACTACAAATTGTTAACATTTAAATATTTTTTTATTATACTTATTCCAAAATATAACTCAATAAATGCGGCGAGTTCCTCAAATGGGTTTATTTCCATAATCGACTGTACGCCAACCAAATGTTTTATAACTTTTGCCATCGTACATGTCAATTTTATTATGTTCACAGAGTATATATAAAATGACGTTTCACCGATATTGTACCAACCGAAATAATAAAAATAATTTGTAATGTTGTGTATGTATTTTATGGGTTACATTATGACCGGTTTCCGTGTTTTTCAACCCCCCGCTGAAGGGAAAAATTATGATTTCGAGTATCTGAAAAACGGTCGGTGATTTATGTTAACCGGACACGGTCGGCCCACGTCGGTTATGTCGCTGTCGAATCAAACGATGATAAATTCCCTAAACAGCCACGACCGAGTCAAAAACAGTATAGGTACAAATACAGTCATTGTGTTTTGCGGACGAAAAAGTATAATAATATACTAAATGCATATTTTATTGTACAAAGAACGTTTTCGCGGTATATTTAAAAAAATATGTATGTAAATATTATTTTTTTTTTTACAAACTTTCTACCATTTATCATCGACAACGACCCCGGTCGGTTGCTGATGACGAATGGGTATATATTGTATATTTTTACACCCCCTCAAAAGTTCGGCCCGTCCACTACTGGCCCGCCGGTATGTGTATGTATACTTTAGCCCACGACCGGGTTAAGCTTTAAATTAAATCCAAATC